ATTACATTCTTCCAGTTGTGCTGCTATTCTCACTATCCTTTTCCAAATTATTCTATCACCATTACCTTCAACTCACTGCCCCCTAGGCTTCCCATCAAACCATTTGAGTTGCTGTTGTCAATTTGATCTCATGTAGATAATTTTTTTTTTGTACCTTAGATGAAGGTTTGCAAAACAAATAGTTTCTCATTAAATGGTTAGTACACATATTGCCTATGACAATGGTTAACAACCCCACGACTTGTCATCACTGTCTCTTCTCAACCTTGGGTTTCCTATCACCAGCTTTTGGTGTCTTTTTTTGTTTTGTTGTTCACAGTTTCTTTGTTCCACTTAATTTTTTGTGCTGAGTCATTTTTCTTTGTGTATTTTCTTTTCATCTTTTTCATTGTTGTTGATTTTGTGTTTGCTGAGACTTTATATTTTTCTAGTTTTTTATTTTGACTTGCAGGATTGTTAGTTTCGTTTGTGGTTACCTTGATATTTACCCCTGTTTTTCTAAGTTTATACCAGTCTTTTATTGCTTTATATCACCTTGACTTCCTCTCCATATGCAAAATCTATGTCTGCATTTTTTAAGTCCCTCTTTTTTGTTTTAATGTTGTCATCTTTTACATATTGACATCTGTCTCCCTATTTTCAGTGTTTTAACTTTGATTTACTTTTGTGACTTCCCTATCTGGTTTGATAGCTGGTTGCTCTGTCCTGTGTATTGAGGGCTGCTTCTCACAGGTTCTGGGTGGCCGTGTAGACTCTTTGGCACTGGGTCTCTCCCAGTGCGGAAAACGTGCCTCCTGAGCACGGCCGCTTGCCTTCAGGTCTTTGTTGTAAGAGAGTCCACCGAAAACGTCTAACTACTCTGCCATCTTGTCCCCGCCTCTATTACCCACATTATTGAGAAAGATTATTGCTGAATATTTCAGTTAATGTTGTCATTTGATAGTTATAAGTGTGATCTTAGTTTTGGTAAGCCCTTATTTCCTCCATACTCTGCTCTCTTAACCTGGGAGGCATATGTATCAGAATGGTATAATGCCTCTTGGGTGATTAAATAAAAAAGAAAGTAGTGATTATCTGAATCCATTGTGGCTTCTTTTTAATCACAAATAATATACACAAAAACTTATGGATTGTTTTAGAATGCTGAAATTAGAAGAGACTTTACAGATTATTTAAATTCATCTCTACATTAATAGATGAGGAAACATGCTCAGTGTCCACATTAATAATAGTAGTAGTAATAGCAGCCATTATTTATGGGTCAGGACCTACCTTAAGCACTTTACCGTAGAGGAGTGAGAGTTCCTTCTGTGATTTGCTCTTTTTCCAGTTCTATTCCCTAGTGTTCCCAAGAGATGTTTAATGAATATTGTGATTGTATTTGTTAAATCCTGTTTTATATATCAATTAAATAGTTTTTATGCCTGGGTCAGTTTCAGTCACCGTAATAAAATGCTTTTCTTATTATCCCTCTTTCGAGACAGGGCAGCACTAGAATGTAGTGGACTACACTCGGACTATGGAGGGGGCCGCCTAGGCTCAACTGGATCAGCCAAAA